TATATATATATATATAGGAAAATATTTTTTACTTTTGAATAATAATTTATTTTTTATAACACAAATTTTGAAAAATGTCTCCAACAAATGTATGCATTTGAATATAATGTAAAAATATTTCATACTTTTACAAGCTTTAAATTATACCTCTACCATATGTGTGCATATCGATATGTAGTAAAAATATTCTACACTTCTACATAATATAAAATTTCAAGTTACTCTTGGATTATCTCATTTATAAACAAGTTTTGAATTGTACCTCTGCTATATATAGGTATTAATATATGTTGTGAGAATATTTTATATCTACCCATACTGTCAATTTATTAGTTTTGACCGTAATATTTAAATATTTTAAAAGAACGTATACTTACATCTTGCCTAGAATTGGAAGGAGATGATATCACACCAAGTGGTTGTCTATGTGATGAATTAATTGGACTAATTCCATGTGGACATTCCAAAGCAATTTGCAAGTCCACAATGTAATCAATCACGTATTGAATTATCTCCAATTTTGACAGCCTTCGATTTCGAGGCATATTTGGCACTATTTCTTTCAATTTTGACAGAAGTGCCTGTATTTCTTCATGATTGACGTCTCTAGCTGATCTTCGTATTTTCATTTGTTTATCACTGACAGGCATGACTGTATCGAAGAGAGCCTTTCACTTATAGCTGGCTCCTCTTAATGATCTCCTACATATTTAAAAGTGTTAGGGAATAGTTTTGCGCATGCGTAAGTTTTCTAAGGCGGAGCTCTAAAGCAGAATTCGACCAATGGTAGAAAATCAGTTAATCCTTCAGGGTGTATGAGAAGATAAAATTTTCCCCAAAACGAAACGATTGAGTGACAATGGGATTGGAATACCATCTAGCGGGGAGAATGAAAATTTTTAAATTACTCAAATCTTTTACTGAAGCAATAAATGAATAAAAACCAAAGCAAGTTTTTACTGTTATGTATTCATAGAGTTAAAATAATTTAAAAAGAAAATATTTTTCGATTGTGTAAGAAAGTTCAAATTCATATGAACTACTCTTTAATTTTAAAACATTTTAAAGTAAAAATATACTTCATAATTTTGTTTTGGAACAATTTGAGTATAACCATAGAGTAATAATTTAGTCTGAAAATCATAAGTAGTATCAAGTTTTTATGTTTAAAATTTTATCTTCAAGCTCAATGAATAAGATTACTAAAACAAAAAAGGAAAGTTTGATACGAAAAAATATAATCTAAGCTAATTATTTTAAACCATTCTAACAAGTTTTATTAGATTCTATCAAAACATATTTTGGGATTGAATCAATAAAATTCCGTGAAAGAAATATGCAATTTTCTTTCAAGGAAAAAAAATAATTTCATTAAAAAAATTAACTAAATTAATATTAACACGTTCACGCCGAATTCAATTGCTTCTTCGCCGTGATAAATTTTCTTACAGTGAATTGTTATTGTTGAGAATAGATTAACTCCTCCCGAATATTATCTAATATTGAAATAGTTCTTCTACCAGTATTTTCTCTTTTCCCGTACCAGTATTTTCACTTTTCCCTGAGTGAACGTGTTAAAAAATTAACTAAATATTTAAAAATTAACTAAATTAATACCTAATATTTGCCTCTTAATCAGGAATTTTCGGCGCTTTCATGCGTCTCATATCTAAATAAGATTTTCACCATAATCAGTGGTCTCAGCAGCCTATAAAACATGAAAAATGGTAGCAAATTTTCAAGAACAAACGAACAAAAGTTTTATTCTAATTTAAATCTAACAAAATATTTAATTCCTAAATAAAATGTTATCCTAGATAAATCTAACAAAATATTTCACTACTGTCCGCGGTTACTCAAATAATTGAAGTTATAAGTTGTGGTTTTTTTTTTATCACTTCACGTAACACAAAAGTGCATTTTAAAATAAATTAAATGAAATGTAAAAAATACTTTATTGAGCAATATAAATGCAAATCACATATTTTAATTAATGGGATTGTATGAAGTTTAAAATGATTTAAAATAAAACAAAAGCATTATAGCTCAAAATACGATTCAACATTCAGTTGTTATTCAGTTCAGTACATTTTTAACTTTAGGACATATATTTTTATAGTGAAATTTTAAAAAATTTCATGAATGTTAATTCTTAAAACCGCTTTAAGTTACAAAAAATTCGAAACAAAGTTTAAAAAAAGTAAGCAGTATAAAAACCTAAATTCAAATTATACGTTTTGTATTAAAAATATCGATTTAAAAAAGAAATTAACTTGGATTGATGATGAAGTCGCACAAAAAAAGTACATCCATGGTGATGATTAAAAATGCCTGAATCGAAAATAGCGATTCGTTATAGCACCGGATTAAAAATATCAGGATTTTCGAAGCCCTGTCAAAAAGCGTAGCAATAGAAAGGACTATAAAAAAAAAAAAAAAAAATTAGATTTGCGATCGGCAGCGCACATTGAAATGCACAAGTGGAGTCGTGCTTAGAGCATCGGTATTTTTAAGAGAAAAAATTATTTTTTTTAAAAAATGGCTTGTATTTACGATTAAGTTGACACAAATAAGACACGTCAAAAATGCAAGATTCGATTTTCGCGAGTCCCGCAGTGGACTGATCGATAAGACACGGTTCCCAGCAGATCACCGAAGTCAAGCATCACTGGCTGCGGTCAGTGTGCGGGTGGGTGACCACTTGGATCAGTCTGCGTAGGGACCGAGGGTGTGCGGTATTGGTCCTCGTTAAACTGTGCTACCGTAAAGTGCTTGACTTCGCGCGCAGGTCGTCGGGCTGCCAAAGCGGGGGTGCCATCCCCTCCGGATCAAAATTTTGATCCATCACAATTTTGATCCATCCGGATCAAAATTGTGATGGCATGTCTTCGGATCATCCTCCGGGATGTTTCCCAGACCGTCGCCAATAGCCCATTGTGCAGCTCTAGTGCGACGTAAATTAACAACAACAACAACGATTTTCGCGATTCGTTATAATATCGTATTAAAAAGATCGAGATTTTAACACAATGCATGTGGGGAATTTCTCCAAAAAATGAATTACAGCTGTTATGGATAAAAGAATTTAAAAAGTGATACGCAGGATTTCATAAAAGTTGGAGCAAACTTATCACTTCAATTTTTGAAAAAAATTACGACGAACGATTGTAGTACTGATTACATATACCGGTAATATTTTCTTTGAAAAACAGAGTGGAAATGAAGGAGTTTTGCTACCACCTTCTAAATTTTTGTATGGGTGGCAGGATTTTTAAAACTATAGAAATTTGTAGCAATAACCACCGAAAAAAGAGCTCGAAAAACTACACTGATTTAAATTTGGCGCATCCAAAACTCAGATGCGTAATTGAAAATTTTCCATTCTTTTTTATTTTCCAAAAAAAATTATAATACTTTTATTATTATGTTTAGGTGATGGCGTGGGCCACGCATCAAGAGCTGTGCACCCCTATCATATAGTGTATTATTTCTCAATCGTGCGTTACCCTTAAATCTCGTGCTATTTATGCAGCAGGTTAAAGTGTTACCTAAATAATAGAAAAAATATCCACTAGGCATAAACCAACATGTATTCCGTTACTTCGGAAAATATTTTTCATAGTGACAGTGTTGCCAATTTCCAACGCTTATTGGGAAAATTTCTTCTAGTGGTAACTAAGCTAATGTTTTAATGTATGATTCTATATCTCGTAAATTTGATTTCTCCCCCACACCACTACATTTAAATAATTCAAAGGTTCAAAAAAGCTTTTGAAATGTTGGTTAAATGACTTACTTAACTTAGTTGCCAAGATGTAAAATTTTCTGTAATGCTTTGTAATTCTGTGAGCATAAAAATTCCTGTTCTAGTTCTCTTAAAAATATTTCGTAGAATGTTGGAGGAATAAAAATCATCGTTCTCATGTACTTCTTTTATCAAAAGGAGTTTCATAATTGAAATTTATCATGGGAAAACAAAACATTCAAGTTCCCCATAATATATTAATTATGTAGATATCTAAATCGTGATATGAAATTAGTAGTTTGCAATACTTAAGTGGATGTCAATGCTAGAACACATAAACACGCGTTTTCTTAAAAGTACTTTCTGTATCACAATGATGTGTTCTCATTTATTTATTGTTATGTATGCAATCTTGAGTAACCAGTCCCAGATAGCACAAACAGTCACAGTAACATCATAGAAAAGTCAAAAATGATCACAGCTGTGACAGTTTTAAACTGTCCCAATGAGGTCATATTGTAACTTTATTTCGTGATATCACATCAGAGTTTCCCCGATTATTTATTGTGACTTTTGTCAGCTAGTAGTCACACCTATATTTTACTGGAACTAAAGTCACATGAGAACTAGTCACTTGAGAACGACTTGTTACGACTTACAGGAGCTTTTTTTTTTTTTTTTTTTTTTTTTTTTTTTTTTTTTTTTTTTTTTTTNTTTTTTTTTTTTTTTTTTTTTTATGAATTGACTCCATTAGGATAGACCAGTCATTTGAAAATCATGTAAGCAGTTTTTTGTGATCTCTTAAAATTAAATATGTAAATCACAAAAGAGTCACGAATAGTCACAACAATTACATTCGCGTGTGATCTTTTTTAGATGGCTCCAAATGATTTTGAAAACTCAAAATGATTTTGATATAATAAATTATTTTCGTAAACGAGTTTGTTAAGAAATTTTTTTTTTTACATACAATATTACTCTATTCTCTAACACTCACAGTGTTAAGAAATAGATTTTAAATGTAATAAATATGCCCCTTTGTCCAAATAACTGAACAATATTTAAATAAATCTAATTTATTGTTATCTTTTTAAAGAAAGAATTCGTTTCCTTCTGTTTTTAAAATAGATGTATACACTTACATTTCCTTTTAAGATTCATAAAATTAAAATTTCATTAATTCATTTATTAAAATTTCAAATTTTACGCAACTGTTATTCAAAGACTGTAATTTTAAGAAGTTTTCAGCTTTCGTAATGTTTATTTCGTAACGGTAAGTGTTTGAAAATTGATAATTAAAGAAAATTGATAGGTTTTGAGTTGAGTTTTTTTTAATTTTTTTTTTTAAGTTTATTTAATATTATTGTTTAAAGGTTCTTTCGTTTTTAAATACTTACATGGTTTATATTTTCGATTACCAAAGTCATTGTTATTTCATTTGAATTACAATTTTTTTCAGTTTTCTCATCATTTTTATAATAATGCACCCCAATCAACAATAATTTTTATCATTTTTTTTCTAATTTAGATTGTTTGATTTCGTAAAGTAATTAATGTTTTTGATCATTTCTAAATATTTTAGCCCCTTTTTCACTAATTACATTAATTTTTGAATGGTTAAGAAATAAAAATATTTGAAGTTTTATTTCAATTCAAATTCTTGATATTTTAATTACAAATGTGTACAAATTACACATTTTTTAGTTACAAATGTGTCCTTTGAACATTATTTTAATGGTTAAATTTACTAGTCTCCACTATGCACAATTGTTTATTTAATATTATCATAAAATAATACATTTTTAGCATTAAAATAAACTATACTCGTTAGTATATAGTTATTGAAATCCATACCTTATAGACATAATTTTTAAATACTGTAAGCCTATATGTCCCAGTAAACACAAATAACTGTTCGAAATTTTCATATTTTTGCAAGTGATTTTTAGAAAGTAAAATATGGTAGCGTTTTATAAATGTTAATT